GCGAATCACGGGCCTACAGCCTGGTGGCCCCACAAGGGGGCCGGCGGATTTTACCCAGCGGCAGAAAAGGCTGTTTAATATGCCTCCGCATGTCTCCGTAAAAGTAATCCTGCATGAGTTGTTTGTACTCTAGGAGTGGGAGGCGCGGAAGACGCAGGTTAAGGGCAAGGGGTTGATGGACACGTACTTGCTCAAGAGATACAGCCGCAAGGGGCTCAAGCTGGCCAAGAGCGCCTCGACTTGCTCGAGGGGCACGGCCAGGTCGGAGCTGGTCAAAAGCGCATCGACGTGCTCGAGGTGAGAGAGCGCCAACTACACACCTGCACCGATCTTGGCCAGGCCAATCCCTGGCCCAGAGCTTGTGTTATGTGTATATGTGTATATATATATACATATATATAGAAATATATATATATATATATATATATATATATATATATATGTGTGTGTGTGTGTGTGTATCCCCCCGTGCACGACGCCTGGGCGCCCATGGCGGCTGCCCCGAAGGGGCATGCGAGTACCGGGGCTCATTTTCAATGTGTTTTTTATATGGTTTCCGCTTCCTGGGCCTCGGAGGCCGCCGCCTCCGACTCCCCGTGGGAGGACGGGGCGGCCCAGGAGGTCCAAAATAGTCCAGGAGGGCCTCCAGAGGCTCCCGAGACGGCCCAAGCGGGCCCCGAGTCGCCGAAAGACCGCTCCAGGACGCCCAAGATAGGCCCAAGACGGCCCGAGAGGCCCCCCAAGGCACTACACGACGCTTCAAGACGCCTCTTGCTGATCTCAGGGCCCCGGGGAGGCCCCTGGTGTGTATGTTACTGTCGTGCATGTGCGTGTTGATGCTGCAGCATTTTGGCTTGCCACAGGTGTGGAAAAGAGGGAGCAGGCGCTCCCTCCTCGGAGCCCAATCTGCATTGGTAGAGCGGAGCGTGCCGCGCGATAGCAGGCGCTGTCGCACCGGGAGGTACTCAGGCGAGTGCCGGCGGGACGCTAGAAGAAGGTGATGAGCACGGACAACGGGGGCCCCGGCGGCGCGATCAGGAGGTTCGCCGGGAGTGGAGCTGACGCTTTTCGGGAATATCGATCCTGGAAGAAGTGGGCGCGGGCGTACCTCATCGTGCAGAAGGCGAAGGGGACGCCAGCGACGGCCTTAGGGCCAATGCTTTTCACGCTGCTGGACGACGTCGCCGCCAGAGCGCTGGAGGTTGTCGACATGGACGATCTAGAACAAGATGGCGGCGAGCAGCTCATTTTCGAGACTCTCGACTCACGCTTCCCCGACGTGGCAGCCCACGACCGTCTCGGAGAAGCGCTGAAAGAGGTATTCACGATTCGCCTGGCCAAGGGCGAGTCGATGGCGGCCTACTGTGGTCGAGCTCAGGCGGCGTTCGCCAAGGGCGAGACCGAGGGTGTAGTGCTGCCGGACATGGCGCGTGGGTACCTACTGCTGCTGGGTGTGCACCTGGCGCCGCAGAACCTCGCGGTCGTCCTGGCAGCATCGAGCCGATCATACAAGGAAAAGGACGTGGCGATGGCGCTCAGGACGACGTACCCCAACGGCTTGGCGGACTTCGGCCAGCAGTCGAAGGCGTTCGGGGCGCACGTGGCGAAAGAAGAGGCCGACGAGAGCGACGACGTCTCGGACATCACGGCGCTGCTGGCGGGCTTCGACGTGATCGAGGAGACCGAGGACGGGGACATCCTGGACGAGAGTGAGGCCATTGAGATACTTGTGTCCTGGCGCGATCAGCGCAACAAGATCACGAAGGAGCAGCTGGCTCGGGGCTTCGGTCCGAAGAAGCCGGACACCAAGGCGATGGCGAAGCGAGTGCGATGCTACAATTGCGACGAGGTCGGCCACTTCAGCAGAGATTGCAAGAAGCCGCGACGTCAACGCCGTCCACCTCCACGGGACCACAAGCACAAGGGCAAAGACGGCGAGAAGCGCAGCGACGTGGTCACGGTCTACGAGAGCGACTCGGACGAAGACGACTTCGTGGCCGGCGACGGCAGGACCGGGGACATCGTCGAGGAGGAGACCTTCGAGTGCGACGTGTGCGACGACGAGTTCCAGCGGCCCTTGCACGTCGTCGGCTGCAGCGACGACGACGAGTGCGACTGCGAGCTGACGGCCGACGAGGAGGACGAGGATCAGGACATAGACGACCTGTACGAGGCGTACACGGCGGCGAGGGATGACATGGATGACGTGATCGAGGCGTACCGCAGACTGACCGCGATGCCCAAGGACGAGGACATGCCAGAGGTGCTGACGGCGTCGGCTCACGAGCCAGGGTCGGGCGCGGTCGACACTGGGTGCGGCAAGGGAGTCATCGGCGAGAAGACCTTCAAGGAGCACAAGATGGAGATGGAGAAAGCAGGTCTCGCGGTAAAGACGATCAAGCAGACGAAAGCGACGACCTTCCGCTTCGGCAACCAGGAGACACTGGAGTCGATCTACACCGCGGAGATCCAGTGCCGAGTGGGCGGTCGCCTCCTGGTGCTCCGCCTGTGCGTCGTCCCAGGCGAGACCCCGCTGCTGGTCAGCAAGCCCATGCTCAAGGCCCTCGGCGCGCAGCTGGACATGGAGCGGGATGAGATTCGGTTCGCCCGGATCAACGTCACGGTGCCGCTCCGGGTCGCGGCCAGCGGCCACTACCAGCTGAACCTATGCGAGAGGAAGAACGAGGACGGCAGGAGGATCCAGACGGCTGAGGTCGACGCGATGGTGACGGCGGAGCAGGACGACGGGCTGACAGCGGAGGAGAAGCAGGAGCACGAGGAGTTCGTCGTGGCGGCGTCGTCGGGTTTTCGCTAGGGCCGAGCCGGAGCCCAGAGGCTGACGGCGACTGGGACGACACCGACGTCCTGTGGTCAGAAGGCGTCACCGATATCATGAGTCGGCGGGCCAAGCGGTCGGTGATCAGAGGTGTTCTCGAGGCGCAGGCCCGGCTGGGCCGCCAACCGAAGTGCCTGGAGATCTTTTCGGTGCCACGGGTGACCCCCGCCTTGGAGTCCATGGGGTTCCAGAGCCTCGGTGCGTTCGACCTACAGAACGGCTGGAATGCCCGCCGAGCGGCGGGCCGCCACAAGATCCTACACATGGTCGACGTCGAGGAGCCGGAGTTTGTGGGCATGAGCCCTCCATGCGGTCCCCTTTCGATCCTGCAGAAATTGACGATGGCGGAAGTGCGACGAGATCCGGAGAAGTACCGCCAGGCAGTCAAGGAGGCGGTCGGGTACCTGAGGTTCTGTGTGGTGGTGGCTCGGATGCAGATCCGAGGAGGTCGCTACTTCACGCTCGAGGCACCGCCGACGGCGAGATCCTGGGACTGTGCGTCGGTTCTGGGCCTGTGTCGGGTGGCGGGAGTACACCGGGTGTCGGTCAACGGGTGCCAAGTGGGTTTGAAAGATCCGGTGACAAAGAAGCTGATGTCCAAGGAGTGGTGCTTCGCGACCAACGCGGACATGCTCAAGTGGACGCTGAAGGAGCTGCGGTGCTCTCGTGATCATGAACATCAGTGGTGCTGGGATAGCTCGAAGGGTATTAAGAGGAGCGCGTTCTCGGAGAAGTACCCTGAGGACCTCTGCAGGAAGATAGCTGGTGCAATGGCAAGTCAGCTGGAGGCAGACTGCGTCTCCCAGACGGCCGACGTCCTGGCGACGACTGAGGACGACGAGGTAATCAAGCGGCGGAAGCTATCGCTCGAGGCGTCCCTCAGGAGGTTGCACGCTAACCTTGGTCACCCAAGCAATGAGGACATGGTCAGGATCCTGAAGCACGCCAAGGCGAGTGAGATGGTATTGGCCCTGGCGCGGACGTTTTCCTGCTCTGTCTGTGAAGGACGGCGGCCTCCCAAGGCCGTGCGGCCAGTGAAGGTGCCGTCGAAGTTGGCGCCATTGAGGCTGGTCGAGCTGGACGTGAAGGAGCTGCCAGGCTGGACGGAAGGGATGAAGGTGAAGGCCCTGAACGTCGTGTGCCCCAGCAGCGGTCTCCAGCAGATGCTACCCTTTTTCGCGCAAGAGACCGGCAAGGTGCTGAAGGAGCTCTTTGAGAACGGCTGGAGCCAGCCGCATGGACCTCCGGTACTTATCAAGTGTGATGCTGGAAAGACCAACCTGGGCCAGGAGATCGTCGACGCGTTCGAGAGGCAGGGCACGGAGGTCAGCGACGCGGCTGGGGAGGCTCATGAACAAGTTGGTCACGCCGAGCGCCATGGCACCTGGTTCGAGGACATTCTGAACAAGGTGCTGGACCAGACGAATCCGAAGGACGAGGCCGAATACATGACTTGTGTGCGCGCGGTGGTGATGGCGAAAAATTCCCTCCTGCGTGTCCACGGCTTCTCGCCGCACCAGATCGCCCTGGGGAGGAACCCGGAGGCCCCGACGGACTTGACGCAGGAGGAGCCGAACATCGTCGCCAACAGCGCTGCCTTACATGACGAGCCGTTCGCCGAGATGGAGAGATGCCGACAAGCTGCGAGGATCGCCGTTCTGGAATACATGGACAATCGCGCGGCCAGGGTTGCACTGGACAGCCGCCCCAGAGTCGTACAGTCATTCAAGCCGGGCGATCGCGTGGCTGTGTGGCGCCGAGGTCGGGGCATTCCCGGCAAGAAGGCTCACGCCCGCTGGCGCGGGTCGGCCGTGATCCTGGGCCCCGTGCGCGGCAATTTCTGGGTCGCCATGCCAGGCGTGGTGATCAAGGCGTCGCCGGAGCAGCTCCGGCACGCCACCGAGGAGGACAAGCTGGCCGCCGAGGTCGTCCAGCCCGAGCTTCGAGCCCTGGCGAAGGAGTTCATGGACGGCCAGGGTCCGCAGCGCGGCTTCATGGACATCACCGCGGATGAGCGACCTCCCAGCGCAGCACCTGCTGGCGCGGCTCCGAGCCCGGCGGCGCAGGAGCCGCCGGAGGAGCAGCCTCCGGCTGCGGCAGAGACGGAGGAGCCGCAGGTGCAGCCGAACTCCGATGACCGCGAGGGGGGCGCTGAGGCGGCTCAACCCGCTGAGGTGCCTGCCGCTCCACCGGCCGACGAGATGGCCGCTGATTCGAAGGTGCACCGCCGGCTGGTGGGCAAGAGGGCGGTCTACCCGGCCGAGGTGCGGCCTCCCAAGGCGCCCAGGGTCGAACCTGAGGAACCGCTGCCAACTCCTCAGGCGAAGATGCCTAGGCTGTCGGAGGACGTCTGCAGCGTGCTGCTGGCGAGCGGGGTGTCCGACACCGTGGAGGACGAGAAGGAGCTGCGCGTGCTGTACGTCAACTCCGAGGACGATGAGGAGCTGGAGGACGCGATGTT